GATTTAAAATACTTTGAGTGCAATGTAAAATGTACAATGCATACATGTAGTGCATATTTGTAAATTCTTTTATATTTTTAAGAATTGTTATACTGTTGTACTTAAATTTTTCAACATAATCTAAAATTTCTGACTTTGGCAGAATTAAATTTCCATTTTTAAAAAATGAAACAATTGTAACCATATATCTATTTACTTCTTCATAACCAAATTTAAATGGTATACTTCTACTATTTTTAAGTAAAAATTTTAAAACATTTTTAATATGCCTAGACAATAACTGTATAATCTTTTTATCTTCATTTACACTTAAATTAAGCAAGTGTGATATGACTTCTATGATACAGAAAATATGCTCTATATTTGCATAAGGTCTTATATCACAACTATTAATTAATGATAACCACTTATGTAATATTTGTTCAGCAAAACAGAGTTTTGTGTGTAGTATCAACTCTGCATCATATAACATAAAAATTATGGAAGCAAACTTTCTAGGATTTATTCGTATATGTACATCATGATGCGTATAGTCTTCACATAAAACGTTAATAAAACTTACTGCTTCTTCTTTTGTTACTTTAGTGTTTAAACACGTAGTTATACTGTTCCATGAAAAAGAATTCCTTATAAACGCTTCATCAGAAGGAAATTCTAATAGCATGTATACTACAATTTTCAACTTGTCTATTTTATCTAAAGACATAGAAATTGTTCTTATAAGTTCAATTTGCGACGCAACTCTGAAAATGCGCGAATGTGCACGCAAATTCTTCTGTATAAAAGATTTAACTACAATCAAATCATCTTCTCTCAAAATATTTAAAGTTCTCTCTGTAACTGTTCTTATAATCACCATCATATAAAGCAGTGGAATAGGAGCCCATGTTTCTTCATCTATTATTTTAAGAAGTCTAGAAATAAATTCTACTTCTGTGTTTCTCATCAGTACAAACAATGTTGTAATTTCGTCTAATATTTCTGGTTCCTTTTGGTACAATTGACATTCATATAAAAATGTATTGTTCAATACATTTATAAATAATTTAAAAAATTCATTATTATTTAGGACTTTATGATATTTACAAACATAAGAAATTCCTTGCTTCATTACAGTATTATTTTCATGCTTCAATATTCTCTCAAAAATGAGTTGCAGCCACATTGTGCTAGAGCACTTATTGCACAATGTATGTTCTTCGCATCCTTTTATTAAATTTGGTACATGTGTTAAAGCTGGTGCAATTAGATGATACTGTTTTTCTTCTAAAGCTTCTAAAACTAAATAAAATTTTTGTTTAATATCATTTATTGATATTTCTGTTTTAACTGATTGTGTGCATACAAATGGGACAATAGTAGTTTTCAGCAAATTTAGTGTATCGCTATCTGAAATTCTACTAAAGTTTATTATTCGTTTCATTAAAAATAATGCTTGTTTGCGATATTGTTGTACAGAAGATTTTAAACTTCTTATTATTAGTAACCATAGTGATTCGTCATAACATAATATGTCAGGTATTGCACTTGTGACTTCAAACTCTCCTGAAAAATATGTATCAACTATAATACTCAATGCACTAAGTTGGTCTTGGATATCCTTCATATCAATGAAAATAAAAGATTTTAGTGTGGGCAAAACTTTTTCAGAACCAAAAATTTTTATTATTTTTGGAAATATTGAAGCAAAAGTAGGCCATTTTCTATTATCTTTCATTTCTAGCCAAATCCTTATATCTTGTAAATAATGTAAGTCCAATGTTAATTGCAACTCTGTCTCTATATCACAATTTAGTAATTGTTTCAAGTAGATTGAATCCAGAAAACTTTCCAGTATTTTCATATAAAATACTCTGTTTTCATTTTCCGACAGAAAAATAAAATGTGATCTTTGGAAATTTGTTAAATGTTGTTCAAGACATCGTAAATTACAAAAGAGTAATGTATACAAAGTTGTAATATCATATAAAATCGTTAAATCACTGTCATTCTGGAACTGTTTTTTTAAATTTAAAACATTTTCAATTCTTTTGAAGCACAAGTCGTTTGGCACTCTTCTTGTATATTTCATTTCTGAATTAAATATAAGTTGATATTCATAACACAGTATTGTGCGAAATGTTTCCAATTTTTTGATATTTAAAGTATTCTCATTTATCTGTTTGTCGTAATTTCGTATTAAACAGTGCAACACTGTAAATGGTTCAGTCTTAAATGTGGTATCAAATGTTTCCAATATCGACAAATCTGTTGTTGAAAAATTCATGTATCGTTCGTGTGAATCCATTTTGTTACAGCTGCCACCGACTTCAATATTTATATTGTATGTAGTCTGTACATATAAGAATATTCGTGTTTACATGCGGGGTTAAATCTGCAATCGTTTTTTAGGAAAAAGAAGTTGACGTAGTGTGAATGTATGTTTTAATAAGAAAACTTTTAACTAAGATACAGCTAACATATCATTTTTCTTGATTAGAAACAGTACTGTCCTTTGTTTTGTTCATGTGTTATTATATGTACAATATATAATAACAATACGAATGTACATAACCAATAAAAGTACACGTGGATACTCTAAAATATACATAAATACAATACGTGTAGGACGTTTCTTTCTTATATCACAAAGAATATTACAATAGCATTGAAATAAAGGATTTTGTTTTGACAGTAAGATTCATTCACTTCAAGCTACAGTGAGCCTCAATTACAGAGATTTCAACACTCGCCAGTTTCAGGGAACGTTTGTGTTTTCTGACAGTAAAGACGAATGAAGGGAAGTAACTTCCCGAAAATCATTAGCTTGGTCAAACAAGTGGTCATAAGCCGGCACATAAGTTTGACGACGATGGCTAAAAGTAAATTCGAATATGTAAAAGAATTCGAACGTGACGACTGTTGTTTGCCAAATTGTTGGATTGTGGTTAGAATTGATGGAAGAAATTTTTCAAAGTTTTGCGATGCTCATCAATTTACAAAACCAAACGATGTAGCCGCCCTGGAATTGATGAATCGAGCGGCTATTACGGTTATGGAAGATTTTAAAGAGATAATATTAGGTTTCGGTCAAAGTGACGAATATTCTTTCGTTTTTCGGAAAGACACACAGCATTACAAAAGGAGAGGTATGTACAGAATACAGATCGAATAATAAGCTCGTAACGTGATACATTTTAAATGACCAATATAGAATATATGATAAGAAAGAATACTGAAAATTACAATAGAATGTACTACTGTATTTATACAACACATATTATTACATATATTAAAGCATTGTGTACTTCATTATGTTACAGTGTTTAAATTAATGTCAAATGTGAATTCACTTTTTACATCAGCATACGTCTATTATTGGTCTCGATTTTTTCGAGGTAAAGAATTATATTATCCACCTTCTTTCGATGCTCGTGTTGTACTATATCCAACAGATAAAAATTTGAGAGATTATTTAGCCTGGAGGCAAGCGGATGTTCATGTGAATAATTTGTACAATACTTGTTTCTGGAATCTTGTGTTGAAAGCTAAGCTTACTCCAAGTCAGGTAAATTTATATTCTTCTCTAATGTATTTATAGGATATATCTAGAAATGAAGAAATAATGACATTTTAATTCTGTTTCTCTAATCTTCAGGCAGAAGAAAAACTCAGGGGTACATTGGCATCGCATAAAAATGAATTACTTTTCCAAGAATTTGGTATTAATTATAATAATGAACCTCCGTTATTCCGAAAAGGAACTACACTTATAAGGAAATTGGTACCTGATGGAACTGGTCGATTGAAACCAGCAGTGGTTCCATTGGTAGATGACATCATTGCAGACCGATTTTGGAAAGAGAATCCAGAAGTTATTGGATTGAAAAGTTTAGCTACTTACCAACCTCCGAATCTAGCTAATAACACAAACATGAAACATGCAAATAATATTCCACCACCTCCAGGTGTTAACGTGAACTCTATGAACGAAGAGACAAATTCTGCAAGATGTCGAGAATCAGATGGTGAAAAGATGCAGTGTGAAAGTGAACGAATTTGTAGAAGATAAGCAGTGTTTTATTTTTATATAATAAATTTTAAACATCCTAACGGAAAATACCAGAAGTTTATTTTCAATAATTTGAAAATTATTTCAACTTTATTACAGTAGCGATATCACAAAATATTAATTGTTGGTGGATGACTTTCAATTAAATTGATAATCATTATATTTTTATAAGATAGATAATATATTGCATGTAAAAGTATTCTCATGCATGTACATACAGTACATATATGTATGGTTACAGAAAAGATGTTTTTCGAAAATAGAATTTCAAGACTTATTTAATACGAATATTTTTCGTTAGGATTTTATATTTTAAAACTAATTTAATTAAAATATTGTATTTTCCAATAGTAAGAAAGTGCATTAAATAATATTCAATTATTTATGAATTTAAAGGCTGCTCTAGAATAAATATATTAAGATTTTTATATTTATCTTTTTCAT